ACCAACTACCGTGAGGGCAATATTTGTACAGAATTTAATGATTGTTTTGAAGGGAACCGAATGAAATATAACCGGTGAGTGAAATGAAATTATGTAAGCCCTCCACTACCCCCTCCAATTAAAAATACTCTTAATGTTAGAAGCCGCTGGCAATGGCCTAGGGCCGTGGTCTGCAAACTGCCGCTCGGGAGCCACACGGGGCTCTTTGGCCCCTTGAGCGTGGCTCTTCCTAAGCCTTAGGAGTACCCTAATTAAGTTAATAACAATGTACCTACCTATATAGTTTAAGTTTAAAAAATTTGGCTCTCAAAAGAAATTTCAATCATTGTACTATTGATATTTGGCTCTATTGACTAATGAGTTTGCCGACCACTGCCCTAGGGTATTTGAGTATTCTGAAATCTTTAAGACAAGTTGTTGATGCTTCACACATTCTATTTAAAAATCATTAATATTTTAACACATGTATTTGTAATCAGGAAAAAGGAGGGAGGAATAACAGGAGGGATTCATAAGGATAAGAAAATGCCAAACTTCTTAATATGTGAGATACCAAAAAGAAAAGAAAAGAAAGGGAAAACAGGGTTTTTCAAAGTATTTTTCAATTCTGTAAGCAAACTAGAGACTATTTGTTTATATATTGAAATGTAACTGTGATTCATCTCAACATAAAGTATTTAAAATTACTTTAAGTATCTTGATTACAAGTATTCATTTTAGAAACATACTTACTTCACATTTTCTTTATAATGACCCAAAAGAGACCTTGAAAGCTTTCCTTTAGATCTGATCCATAAATTACTCGAGCATGTCTCTTTTTTACTTATAATTATTTTTTGCAGAATTACTGTTGATTTTATATTACCACTGCTGTTAATTTTATCTCACTCCTCAAAATTCTGTCATATGTTACAGACAAAAAGATAAAGTATATATCAAAGAAAATATCTATATTTTTCATTCATATGATTTTTCTTCCATACATTTTTACATACTTTCCCTGACTCTAGCTCATTCCAAACT